TCCCATCTGCCTGATCAGGTGGACGTTAACGATCCTGCAGCGCTATTTTAAAACAGAATGCAGTTTCTCTCTCCTGGTGTACTCGCTGACAAACCCCGAGATAAAATTGGTCATTCACTTCATGGCCTTTGGTGGGACATTGAGGTGCACAAATTGGCTGCCACATTCACCTACAAAATACAGTCACAACACTTTACAGTAAGTGTTTTGAGACATCCTCCCGATGTGAAAGCTACTTCATCGAATGCAAAGATTGTTATCATGATGATGATTCTGTGGTTCAGAGAATTATTGAACCATTAAATCTTTACAGAACTAAGGTATATTCCACCAATGTTGAAACAGCTTTGAAACTAAGCACTTTAGAAACATTTCCTTAAAAAAATATATCGATGGAACTGTGTGGGGAGTGTGATACAATAAGCATCTTTCCCACTGAGAGTTCACAATCACATCGCAAAAGGATTAGTCATAGGTATTTTTGAAAAAGATGTTTTCCTTGGTGCTTGTAGAAAAGGGAAAAATTGTCGAGTTCATATGTTTATGTATAAAAAACAAAGGGGAAAATTCCACCCCTTAAAACTAATAACGCAAACGTCCTTACAATCAGGTGGTTACAGACAGCTGAGCACAGAGCTGACAGATCAAGGGAATGAGGTGATCGATATGACATCCCAGTTGCGACGAGACTAGACGCAGACAGTTTCCTGATTGTGCTCTTTCCATTTTGACTAAATCACCTGTGGCTTTGGACCACACATGTCTCTGAGTGTGACGGGGCTTTTTGTATATGTGTGTTGGGGGGTGGGGGTGGGGCTCTTATCTCATCTGTTCCCACCCGTCATCCTTGGGAGGGAGAACTGGAGGCGAAAAGGGGACGAGACACAGCTGGTGGGTTGTGGAAGGAGAAGGTTGCACCGTGAACTCGTTATATACACTGCACCAAATATTTCCCCATTCCTCATCAACTGGGGATTTTAAATGGAAAGTCCCTTCAAATGTTACTGTTTTGTTTTCTTTTGTGTATGTATGTTTTGTGTGTGCAGTACTGTACTTTTCTAAACACTTGACGTCCTCCCGACGTGAAAGGCGCTCTATAAATGGAATCTTGTTGTTGTTGATCCTTTTAGGTTGTACATTGCTCTGTAACTATTCAATGGTGGCTACAAGGTGACATGTTTGGCAATGGATTGTCGGAATCGAGCCAGCCCTCTGTACCGGTCTCTAGTCCAGTCTCTGAGCCAGGAGGGGCCGCAGTATTCCAGGGCACTCAATGCTGATGGCAGCACAGCCCAGCCCATCGGCAGGACCTAGAAGGGCCGACCATTCACTGGGGGCAGGGAATCCTCCCCTTCAGCTCCTGTTAACCCTGCAATCCAAAGCCCTAACAGGTATGGTCCTAGCTAGCCAGACAGTGCTCTTAATGGCTGGCTGTGTGGTTTTACCTGGTTAGACTCCAGCAGTTACCCCAACACACAGCCTGGATCCCCAAGCTTTGTTTTTTGCCAACCTGCACTTAATACTTTCCAGAATTAGGTCAGCAGGAAGTGTCCTTCCACGGAGTGCGCATTCCATTCCAACAAACATCATGCCGTAATAGAATTTCCAGTGTAGGTGGGATGCATGGAATTCTTGGTTGGGTTTGGAGACTCTTAAGCAGGTGATGGGTTTCCGCGCGTGTCAGACACGGCAAACATGGTGGGGGTTTCTCATTCCCTCTTGCTCTTCAAGATGTTACCACTTTCAGTTGTCTTTCCGCCTCCCCAGGCTCCCCTGCCCACCCACCTCCCCAGGCTCCCCTGCCCACCCACCTCCCCAGACTCCCCTGCCCATCCACCTCCCCACGCTCCCCTGTCCACCCACCTCCCCAGGCTCCCCTGCCCACCCACCTCCCCAGGCTCCCCTGCCCACCCACCTCCCCAGACTCCCCTGCCCATCCACCTCCCCAGGCTCCCCTGCCCACCCACCTCCCCAGGCTCCCCTGCCCACCCACCTCCCCAGACTCCCCTGCCCATCCACCTCCCCAGGCTCCCCTGTCCACCCACCTCCCCTGGCTCCCCTGCCCACCCACCTCCCCAGGCTCCCCTGTCCACCCAGCAGTGTCAGGTGCTGTGAGACGCTCCCGACATTGAGCAAAACAGCCACCATTACAAACACATGGCCATAACCTTCTGTCTTGGTGGGGTTGACGTGTGCTACCACACTCCAGCACCACACGTGTCACAGGCGCGGAATCCTGTGAGAGGAATGAAAACAAAGACAAACACTGGCTAATTCCAAATCTTTTTAGTTTAAAACCTTATTTTTTTTGGTTTAATCCACGGAATCAAGTTTCGGCAAGTTGGCAAACTGAAATGATAATAAAGTGATACAAAGCCTCAGACTGGACTGTGAGCTCAAAGTCCCGACGTAGGGCTAGGACTCACCCACAACCATCTGATTCGGAGGCCAGAGTGCTACCAACTGAGCCAGGCTGACACACCTAAGTTTTTAAGACATTGAAGTTATTGAAGTGGAGTTTTTGGGGGGATAGTTTTCCACAGCAAAGCACCAGCTGCCGATGTCTCATGATCCAGTCAGCAATTGCGAGGATTAACAGCTCAGATGCACGTGGGTCAAACGCAGGGTAAAGTTTTTCTCAGTTGCGATGGGTTACGTCAGGGAGGCTGCTGAGGGCCAGGGGCTGGATGGGAGAAATGCCCGCGGCCACATAAGCGTTATTCTATCCTGATTGGCCAGTGCCATTGCTGGGCAGTGCCTGAGACCCAGGTACCATCTCCTGATTGGCTCAGGAGCCTGAATATCGTCCATATTTGCTCATCAGACAATGATGGTGGGAATGGTTCGCGGGCCAGATGCAGCCCAGGGGCCGCCAGTTGAACCACCCAACGTTACAGTATAGGGTTGTCGACAGCAACGCGGGATTTGCACCATCGCTATTCGAGTTGTTGTTATTCCCATCGTTTCCAAAAGGGTCAGTTACACCAACATGATGAGAACGAGGAATTCCCACAGCACAAGCCTCTGTGTATTCACACACACTTGACCCTTCAGTACAACTTAGCAATGTGTTAAGTTAATATCAAAGAAGCCAACCTCACTTTGCAGGTTCTGTACTTTTTTTTCTTTACATAAATATAAATAAGTAACATTCAGGGGAGTGTGTGTATGTGTGTGTGTGTGGGGGGGGGGGGGGGGAGGTTGAATTATGTCCTCACTCAATAAAAGTCTTTGAAACTCATACTCTCCTAAATTCATGTATTTACAAATTCGGCTTGTAAACCTCTACAGAGCAGCCGGGTAAGAAACGATCCGTTCTCAACCAGTTTGTAACCCCCACCCGCCTCTGTACAATAAGAACATAATAACAAGTGGTTGGGTTAGGGTTAGGGCAATCTGCTCAGTTCATTGTTACAGGATTAGTTTGTTGTCTATACACATTGGTTACTGTTTAGTCGTAACTGTTAACTTAGTCAGTAAGTTACCAAGTATCCGAGCGGGTTGTGTCAAAAGGACTAAGAAATAGATGGCGCTTTACTCATTCATGGTCTAGATTTACTCTGAAACTGTCTGTTCAACTTCGTGGCTGTTTGTGGGACATTCCTGTTTGCAAATTGGCTGCATGCAAAATGCACAGTCACTACACTTTGCAGTGAATGCTGCCGAAACACTTCCAGGTGTTCCAATTCAATCATGCGCCAGATCACAAAATGCAAAGTATTAATTGTTTTAGTGTTGGGATTTAGTCTGGGAATTAGCAGCCTCGGTGTTGGAGCTGTGTTTTTGTTAAGTTTCTTCGAAGAACTACGGAAAACTGTCTGCAAAGTTACCACTGAATTTGAGTGTTTGCCAAATCTAAACCCAGAATAGCTCTCCCTCAATATCTCCAGGGCATGTGTTAAAGCAATCCCCTGCACCTTGCTCCTCTATGTGTGTGTGTGTAAGCGTTCCGAGATGATACCCCACATGAAGGGCGTTGTATAAACGCAAGTTGTTGTAGTTGTCATGCGCGCGGGTGTTCGGCTTTGTTATGTTTGAATACTGTTGAATACTTCTAAAAGAATATAACTTTAGGGAAATAGTTTCATTTAAAGGCATCTCACTGAGGAACTTACATCAAACTGTGCGTGAACTCTGCTGAAATGTGTGGCTTTTTTGATTTGAAGTCCTTATTGAAGAAGATCAGTCACATGGGACTAGATATATAAATAATTCCTTATTCTCTGCCTCCCCCTCTCTCCCCCCAGCCACAATTAACAGGAATGTAGAACAGATTCCTTGTGTTGTGAGGTGCATTTTTTTTTAAACAGTACTAACCGACGCCCCAAAATTCCACCTAGTCTTAGCCTGCGAGACTGTTTTTGCCTTAAATATAATATGGCGCAGAAATGGGGAAAACCTTTATTTAGAGGCGAGGAACAGTGGGCTGGGTGGGGGGTAAAACAGCTTCTAGACGTAGACCGAATTGAAGAAATCCTCCACCAATTCCATAACCACATTAAACGGTTAAGGTAGAAATGGTCTCGCGGGCTGAGACTGCTCAGAATTTCTCCCCTCTGGTCTGTACATTGCCAGCCATTCCCACCTCATGTTTCCAGCCAGACTCCTCAGAGCTGAGAAAGATCACAGTGGGGAAATGTTCACACCTCGTATCAAGGGGAAAACGATTGCTATTGCTCTCGTAGTAGTAGCTTGTATGGAGACCAACCGCTTTTTTATTCCATCGGACAATTGGCCATCTCCATACATGTGCGTGAAGGACTACACAGGGCTGTGCATACGCAGTCCACAGCGCTCTGCTTCCCCTGCCCTGCCCCCCACCCCATGGTCTTCCCCGCAATGTGCCAGCGCTGCCTCCTTATGGCCAAACCCCTCTGGCTATAGCTCAAACCCGCCAATGTTCCTCACTCACAATTCCTCATGTCGAGACAAGAGTCTAGCAGTTCATGATCCCCCTCCCCCCTACACAACACCCCGCCCCCACACATCCTCTCCTCCGCTCCCCTCACCCCCCACATATATCTTCCCCTCCCCGACCAAACGCACACCTGTTCACCCCCCACCCCAATTAGTAACTGGGGACTGAACCCTTCGAGGGGACGTCCCGTCCTGGGGCAGCAGTGAGGCCATCTCTGAGTCAGGGAGGGAGATGGAGTCCATTGCCATTGGGGAGGAATAATGTCAACCCCTCCCTTTCTCCCATCATAGATTTGTACAAAAATAGAAACTTATTTGGGAGGTTTCACACGGTCACGCTTTCCCCCAAACTAACCCCGACTCAGGCAAGTATTCCTCGCTCTTCAGCCAAAAAAACCATCAAAACTCCTGCTGAGTGTGTATGTGTGTGGTGGGGGGCAGCAGGGGGCGGGGTGGGGTGCGGGAAGAAGAGGGCAAGGTGACTAATCAATGGCTGCTCCCACGTTGTGTCACGTTTTGGGTCACGCCGGTGACTTCTCTCCTCTCTCTCTCTCACTTTATCTGTCCACCTTCTCTGAGCCCCCAAGCTCCTGTCGTCCCATGTGCGTCTCTACACCCTGTAGGAGGGGTTGACAGGGGCCGAGAGGGAGAGCTGTCCATTGGGGACGGGTTCGGAGGCCTCGTCCTCAAGCAGACCTGAGGCGTCTGCATTGGGGATGCTGTCGTGGTAACTGCTGAAGCTGATGTTGTCCTCCTTCAGCTCAATGGTCCAGAAGGGGGCGTTGAGCTTCCGGTTGCGATATTCCCGGTAAACATAAACTCCGGCCACGAAGCCAGTCAGTAGCACCACCACCGCGATGATCACCGCCAGCACCACGATGTTGAACTGTACCCAGGAGATCTCGGGGGTGGGAGGGGCCGGCATGCTGGATGTGGCTCCCACCGGGGGGGAGGAGCTGGGTCTGGTGGGCAGAACAGTCCAGGGGGCGAGGACGGTGGTGGGGGCGGGGCTGGGGGCTGGTGCGGTGGTGCTCTCTGGGGCTGACATTGCCGGTGGTGACTCTGTGCTGGGGCCTGAGGCCGTGAGCCATGTGGTCTGCGACGGCGATGAGGATGGTGTCATGGTGGGAGTTGTGGTGGGGGTTGTGGTGGGGGTTGTGGTGAGAGTTGTGGTGGGCACTGGCGTGAGGGACAGCACCTCTGGGGGACAGAAATGTGTCACAGTGAATAAGAGAGAGAGGGAAGGTGGTGATCACATTCAAATCCTCCTCCACCCACCCACTCCACACACACACCCTGTCTGCGTCTGATACCTTGATATCTCCTGCATCTGTATCCCTCCCCCACCCCACTCTATATCTGTGGCCTCCATCTCCGTGTTGGGGCTTAGTAGTAATGTCTGCACCAAGCTGGTGAGGGGGGATAACATTTCCCAATTTCCCTGTCTAGACAGTCTGCACCCCCCTCCCCAAACCCCCTCTCCCTTTAAAGCCTTTGACCCCACATCTGAAGTTATAACTTGCCCGGGAATGGAATCCTCTCACTTGAGCTCTAGCTACTGCACTGCAGGCCGCCCCGACCTGACTTGGCCCCGAGCTGAGCCTTGTCCTCACCTCTCTGGCAACTCCTGTCCTCGGGGCGGCCCACGTGGCCCTTGGCACAGCGCTCGCAGTGGGTGCCGGTGGTGTTGGCCGAGCAGCGCAGACAGTGGCCGGTCTCCATGTCACACTCGGGGCCCGGAGCCTCGGGATCCGTGTTGCCATGACAATCGCACCTTAGACAGAGGCTATCGGAGTTGAAGAATCCTTGGTCGCACCTGGTACAGTTATTGCCAATGTAGCCGGTTTTACACTCATCACACACCGCCTTGCCCGCCTCTGTGTGGGGGGGAGAAAACAAAGGATTCTAAATTTAGAATAATATCTAACAACAACAACTTGCATTTGTTGAGGTGTCCCAACGGTGTCCCTGATATCTTGATATCATGACCATGAAGTGTAATGACTGTATATTTGTCAGCCAATCCCTGTAAGATACCACACACAAAAATGTACATTCTGATAGCATCTCAATCCCGCATCAAAGCGCTTCATGGCAATTCGTGCCAAGTGTGTTTTTTTTAAACATTTCTTAAATTTACGCTAAATTTACTCTGAACCTCTGCACTTCTGTCTCTGTCCCTTGAATCTCAAAGCCCTTCTGCCGTCCAGCATTGAGAGGTTGATGGTGAGTGAGGTGGCAAAGGGTTGACAGTGGCTGCTTTAAGTGGCACGGGAAGTCTCACATTATTTACACCCCCCACACCCCCCACCATCCCCACCTTCCCCCATTGTGAAGCCTGTTGTTGATCCCCACCACAAGGCTGTGGGGGTTATGTTGACCGGAGGCTGTTGAGAGTGGGGCAGACAGACACCAATGGGGTCAACAGCCTTTTCCTCTGGCACCACCGCATGGCTGATTCACAGCGGTACAGGTAGAGCAGGGAGTAAAGACATTGAGTTAGACGCACATTTAAGCTGCAGCCACACACTGACACCCAACGCTCCAAGTCTCAGTGAATTTGTCTCTTTGAGCTGGAAATGAAACCCAGCTCCCCTGAGAGAGAGAGAGAGAGAGAGAGAAAGGCAAAGGGAACGAGAGAGTGTAACTCAGTTCCTTAAGATTGCAATTCACGGCAACTAATTCACTCAACGGTGTCTCAAAGCACTTCACAGGATTTACTGTCAAATGTTTTTTTAACTGTAAAATGTATTTTTGAGCGAAACGCAGCAGCCAGTTGCTGAATGAACTGAATGTCAAAGCGATAGCAACAATAATAACATTTTAATGGATTGTCAGTGTACCCCCCACTTGGCTGAATGGCCTTGGACTGAGTGGTCGGAAAGTTTCTATGATGACGCTTCAGCTCTGCCTCTTTCTTCCTTTCCTTCCTGCAAACCCAGCGATAGCGGCTGCCTTTAATTACCATATCCCACAGACTCACCCTGACAATCTCCGAACAGAGACTCCACTCTCTGCCACCATCTGTTCAGGTTTGTTTTCTTGCTGAATGGGCAATGCTGGCCGGGGGCTTTAAGTGGGCTCATCCCACTCTACCTCCATGACCTCCTACCATCCCACTCGCTCTGTTTCACGTCCCCCAGCTCAATCTATCTCCCATCTTTGATGGGAGAGCATTGAGCCACTCAGCTGATCCCTCAACAAGTCAGCCCAACTAGACTTGTGTTGGTGTTTATACTGCATCCCAGCCTCCACCCCTCCCATTCCCCTCTCCTACACCCTCTTTATTCCTCTCTGCCTTGCGTATCATTAAGAGTTTTCTCTTAATTACATTAGTGTTTTTTTGCTCCAAACACAGGTTTGGGTGGCAGCGAATCCCTCATTCTCTCCCACCCACCACTATTGACTTCATTAAAATTTCAACCTTGATTAAATCCGGCTTAAACAACGACGACAATGCATACTCACATTGTGTAACATCTCAAAGCATCTCAAAGGACAGAAACTTTAATGAGTGACCGGTAAGAAGAAGGAGTGTTTGAGCTCTGCTGTTTAAGCTAAGAGCAAAACATCAGGTCACTCCCGGAGACTAAGATCCTCCAGCTTTCTCTCAGTTTTCTCTCCGCTTCAGAAAACCTTTGAAGTTAATAGTCTTTATATTTCAAGGCTAACAACCACTCACTCGCTGGTCTAATGATACTAAAATAGTCTCGAAAAGTACCAGTTCCAGATGCTAAGTAGTTTATATCCGTCTCAAATATCATTTCAACTGGAATCTGCTTCTTTCTGCATCCACCCTATGCTTACATTGCTACAGCTCCCCATACACTCACACTGACGCACACACACACTGACACACACACTCACACTGACATGGACTCACTGACACACACACTATCCACCATCCCTTCTCCCCCTTCTAAATCAGAATAGTAAATTATGATCAAAGTATCAGCCTGGGTCAGTTGGTAGCACTCTCGCCTCTGAGTCAGAAAGTTTTGAGTTTAAACCCAAGTCAGGACTTGGAGCTTGCAGTCTAAGTTAACATTTCAATGCAGTGCTGGGGGATGGCTGGGAGCTCCACAATGTCGGAGGTGCCATCCTTAAAAGGAGGCTTTAAACTGAGGCCCCCACCTGTCTTTGGGATGTCCTCCCAACGTGAAAGGCATAAATATAATATAATTTATATTATATAACAAATAATGTAATAAAAAGATTATTATAATTTTGTTATTGTTCAGTTGGACGTTAAAGATCCCGTGGCACTATTCAAAAAGAGAAGGGAGTCTCTCTCTCTTTCTCCGGGTATCGACTGTTGCATTCTCCTACAAAATACACAGTCACTACACTTTACAGGAAATCCTCTGGATCTGTACTCCAACATTCAGAGGGCCATAAACAGTCGTGGATTGAGTGACCAAATTGTATTTGGTTTGTTTGTATGAAGAGATCCTTACCCCAGGAAAGCGATCCGCCAATCAACTAGCATCTGGGTTCCTACTTACTGTTAGGTTTTGCCCTGCCCGGGAATCAAACCCAGGTCCTCTCCTTGCAAGGTGAGTGCTCCAACCAATGAGTTACAAGACTCCCAAGAAATTAGGCTTATATAGCCCAAAACGGACCGGTGGATGAGGAAGAAATTTTGCAACATTTTGGCTCATTAGCAAGCCTTGATAGCAGAATTCTCAAACATTAACTTGGTTACTATAAACATTAATTAACCTTCGACATAAGCCGGAAAGATAACTCCAGGCGGAATCCAGACACCACAGTTCTGGAGAATCTCTCGCGCTATTCTGTTTTTAACTGATATTAATTGCAAATCTCAACTTTTTCCATCCGAGTAATGAGATCCTGTTGTCCTGCCCTGCACCAACCCTTGTTCCACTGCTGTCAGCATTGCTGGTGCCTGTCCCCAGGTTCTTTGCTGCGATATTGGCCAGCCTGCCACACTATCAGTTAGTGTGCACATGTGAGGCATTGCAGACACACCACTCCCACATCCGCTTTCCATACTGCAACCAAACTGCTCCCACGGTGTCAGACAACGTCCTCTCCCTGTTGAGGAACGGGGCTGAGTGACCACACACTGAGTGTCAATCATTATCGTGAACCCTTTGTTTAAAATTGGATCTTAAAATGGAGCCTTGGTGAAAAGGTGAGATGTTAACTGAGGACTATCCCCCCACCCCGAGGTAAAATTGGTGGTTCACTTCATGGCTGTTTATGGGACACTGCTGCCTGGGTGCAAATTTGCCAGCAAAAATACAGTCACTTTACAGTATAATTTGGTAAAGCACTTTGAGACGTCCAATCTGATGTAAAGGTGCTGTACAAAGAGCTAGGATTATCAGAGCTAGGAATCTCTGTGGGGGGAGAAGCATAAAGTTTGCAGATGTGCTCTCACACCAAATTACAGCTGAGGATATTAGCCAAGGGCTATTACTCTCTTAGTTTTACCTCTTCATGCTGGGACACATTCTGGTGCACACATGCGCACTCACACTCACCCAAACATACACATAATTCACACAAATACATACATACACACATACAAACTCCCACACCCACATACACACACCCAAGTACACACATAAGCACACTCACAAACAAATACACACACACACATATCTATACACACCCACATATATCTGTATCTATATACACACACACGCACACAGACAGCCTCACACCCACACACTGGCTATCAGTTTCCGGTTGAAGATGGCTGTGCATGACAAAGAATCGCACAGCGTTCGCACTAGAAACTGGCTTATAATGAGTTCCTTTCCATTGTGTATTGCAGGTGGTGTAGTCTATTATTACTGTATATCTGCCAAACCCATGCCTCGTGCTGGGCTCTGGACACTTGCTGATACTGTAATTTCCTCCCAGTTTTAATTAGAGAAATAAATGTCTCACACACAGCAAATGGCAGAGCTGCCCAGTTGTATATAATATACACACACATATATAATGCTGTGTGTATACAGTTTACAACAACAAGATTACATTTAGTGTATTTATAATATATATTGTATAATAATTAACAAACTTACCCTTGCATTTGATACAGCACCCAAAATACTTCACAGGATTCATTGTAAGGCGTAAGTGTAAGGTGTAGTGACTGTGTATTAACGCAGCAGCCCTGCTACTAAACAACCACCACTTTTACCTACAAATTCAGTGACTTCATTTAATAATAATAATAATAATCCTTGCATTGTGTATAGCGCCTTATCAGGTTGTCGAGATGTCTCCCTCCACAACAGGCAGATGGGAACTCCATTTAATGTCTCATCTGAAGGTTATGATGGTGCAGCCTGTTTGTCAATGCAGTAAGACTTGTGTCCCGTACAGTGTGAAGGGGCTGTTTACTTATCGCTCTGCAACCACAATCTGTTTTCATATTAGTTTAACAACCTGCCCCTGTAATCGCAGCAAATAGTTTATGACACGTTGACGGAACTGGCCGCAACAGAGTAATTGCATGCCTTTAATCGTGTGATAAAATGTGTTAGGTTTTACTCTCTCTCCCTTTCACTCCTGGAACAATAATTTAGCTCAGTTCGAGGACTGTCCGGGGAGTAGTTGCTGATGGATGTTTTGCTATCAGGCGGATAGCGAGCAATGAGGAGACTCACATCCAATTGACATTGGGGCACCCTTGGTGACACTTCAATGTCTTGTTAACCTCCCACCCAGACCAGGTCAACTCAAAACAAGGGGAGGGGAGGGGGAGTGGGGCATTGCCACTGGCTGTTACATGATCAAAGCGATTGATTTGACTCTCTGACTGTCTAGTGGATGTTAAAGCTCGATTCAAAAAGAGAAGGAGTTTCTCTCTCCCAATACCCTGACTGACAGATAAGAATTGGACGTTCACTACGTTGATCAAGTGTGGTTAGTGGATCTATTCAGTATCTCAAGGGACAATCATCTGGATACAGTCAGTGGATATGAGAGACACACACACACACAAACACTGTCCCTGCCATGGTCTATATTGAGGCGTTAAAGGCACTGATCAGGTGATAGTGCGATTGCCTTTGTTAACATAAATTGTCTGCAGTCTCTGCCTTCTCCGCTCAGCAGCTCTGCCAAAGACACACAGCAGCACGTACCAGCAGTCGCTGCCTAATCCATACTCTGGGGTTTTTCACTTCCAATTTACAAATCCATTTGTCAGCAGATAAAAGCAGTCGTCTCTAGCTGAATTGCACGTAGCAGAGATTCTACTAACTGGCCTTGTTGTTGAAGTAACGCACTCCGGCAGAACACACACATCAAGGGGAAATATGGCAACACAAAGAAATATTCACTGCACAATGTAACCTGAAAGATGCTGCTTCGGTGCCACAAAATATCTAACAGCATAACACACAACAACAACCTGCATTTATATAGCGCCTTATCATGTTGTTGAGACGTCTCAAAGCGCTACTGTAAAGTGAATTGACTGTACATTTTGTGGGCGCCAAGCAAAATACTCCACAAAGCAATTCACAGCAAAAAGAGCAACCAAGCAATTCATGGCGCAAGATATTTTCAAATGAAAGTCTGTGATTAAAAAAGAATCGCATTCTGCAGAATATTAATTAAAAAATTGTTGATTTTTTGCAGATAGCAGACAGCAGCACTTGCTTCAATTTATAATTAGGTTTTGTTCTCTCCTTGTGGAGTGCGTTGGCTGCTGTGTGCTACAGGCTTACCCAGGCAAACTGGGCTGTGTCAGCAAACTCCAGAGGGAAATTACTGCACAGCAGCTACCGGAGAAAGGAGACAATTGATGCTATATAATAATAATCCTTGTATTTGATATAGCGCTTTTCACGTCTTCTAGACGTCTCAAAGCGGTTCATAGAACAGACTGTAAAGTGAATTGACTGTATATTTGTGGACAAAACACGGCAGCCAATTACGCGCAGCAGTGTCCCGCAAACAGTCGTGGTTTGAAGTGAGCAATTTATTATTTTTTTTCTTGAGGGATTATTACCAGGCAATGTTATGTTATGACAGTGAGGTTTGGGATTATTTTAATGTTTTTTTTCTTTGGAACCAGCAAAAGGTTTTAAGAGGACAATTGTTTTCTGAAAACTACTGTCTTATCATCATCATCAGTTGAAATCTACTGTGTTTGTGTTTACTGTAGAGTGAAGTGTCTGTGTTTACTGTGCAGAGTGAAGTGCTTTGAGATGGTACATCCTAAATCATGGCCACCCTAAACCATGCACTGCAGTCTGTACAGGTGACAGTTTAGCTCGGTTGTGGTAGCAATCTCGCCTCTGAGTTGGAAGGTTGTGGGTTCAAGCCCTTCCTCCCCGCTTCTCCAACATATTGGGGCTTTGAGTTGAGAGTTCAGGCTGATGCTCCAGTGCAGTGCTGGGGGGAGCACTACTTTGTTGGAGGTGCCATCCTTTGGATGAGATGTTAAACTGAGGTCTCGTTTGTGCCTGTTCAGGTGGATGTTAAAGATCTCATGGTGCTATCGGAAAAAAAAGGGAGTTCCTCCTGATGTCATGGCCAACAATCCTCCAGATAAAGATTAGTCATTCACTTTATGAACATTTGTGGGACATTACTGCGTTTGCCTACAAAAATATACAGTTGCTATCACAAAAATCCTGTGTTGCGCTTTGAAACTCTTTGAGATGTGATAAGGCGTTGTATCAAATGTAAAGGATTTTTATTAATATAATTCCTGTAGTTATTATTCCTAAATTAATACTGAATTTGAGAATTCCACATGTTAAACATGAAGAGAAAGCGGCTGTGCAGGCTCAGGCTAGGTGGAATTTCAGAGCCATTGTTGGTTAGTCTGTCTGTCTGCCTTCAGGCTTTGGGTCAAGTCATGCTTTTACAGCGTCGTGATGAATCTACCCAATCAACTGTGGAATAAATCTAGGTTATGGTACTGTGACTGTGGGGCAGACAATTCCTATACCCGGGAGATTGGGCTGTGCCATCAAGCGCCAGCCACACATAATGGATCTCTTGCCTGACACCATTTAGACATATCAACATTCACTTGAATTGCTAGTGTTGAGAGTAAACTAGCCTGCCATACATATAGCATTTTATCAGCTCGGATGAGACGATAAACTGAGGCCCAGTCTGTGCCTGCTCAGGTGGATGTTAAAGATTCTGTGGTGCTGTTCGAAAAGAGAAGGGAGATTCTCTCTCTCTCACGGTGACCTGGCCAACAATCCCACCAAATAAAAATAAATGGTCATTCATTTCAGTGTCTGCCCAGCTCACACAAACCTCTGCAATTCATTCATTCCCCAAGGCTATAATTAGGCATCCTAATTGGCTGCTTAACTTGCCAAAGGCAGACAGTAATAATTACTGGGTAGTGAGAGAGAAGGCTTCATGTGTCCTGAAATACTTACAAATCCTCGATTTGCGAGATCAGCTAAGATCTCTGTGTTGTAATAATCCTCTGCGATTGATAAAGATACAGATACAGATCTACCTCACCACATCGTTCAAATGTCTCAATGTCTCACAGGGTTTACTGTAACGTACAGTCACTGTGTACTTTAATGGACAAACATGGCAGCCAATTTGCACAGTAAAGTCCTCACAAATAGCCATGACACCAATCAGCAATGTTGCCTGGGTGGATTGGCGGCCAGGACATCCGCCCAGGGGAGAATCTCCCTTCTCTATTCCTAAAGGCCACAGGATCTTAACGTGTATCTGAACAGGCACGGACACTCAAAGGACAGCGCCTCCTCCTAGTGCTTCATCCCATATAAAAACTATTGTTGAGCTCTTAGCTGGGAGAGTGAAGGGAACAAATGAGTGCTCTGCACATTGTTCCACACATCGTTGTAAACTGTCCTCTGTGTTTCAGAATAAAACAAGGTTTTTTCAGTAATGTGATGTGTTGTCTGTATTGAACTGTTCTGTGTGTTCACCTCACAACACTGAGACTAACTCAGCAACACAGTCACAATGATGAGCTGCATACACACAGCTCTCTCCACGTAGGGTAACGTGTGAGCGCTTCACAGAGAGACGGGGTGGGAGGGGGACACCATCACAGACTCAGTGGAATAGACCAGATTGAAGATGGGATTTAAAGACACACACTCTGCTAAGCCCACACACCTTCCTGTCAGTAACAATATGCTGGCCAAGTCAGCAAATCAATATGATAAGTTCACGACAATGCAAACAATTAAAGACCCAATAATCATCAGACAATAATCATTACAGAGGACGCTACTCGCCTAGTTGCGTCTGTACCTCCAAGATTGCTTTTCTCTAAAAAATAAGTTTTTATTGGCTCTCTTCAGAATCATAGAACCTTAGAAGGAGCCTGTGCCATCCAGCCTGTAGTGGTTCTTTAAAAGAGTTACCAACTAGTCCCACTCCCCCACTTTTACCCCAAAGCCCCGCAAATATTTCCTTTTTAAGTACCTATCTAATTGCCTGTTAAAAGTTATTGTTGAATCTGATTCCAACAGTCCCTTTCTCCACATTTAGCTCACGTTACCTGTGTGGCAGCTTCCGGTGGAGGTGACCATGGAGCAGGGACAGCGCTTGCAGTCTGCGGCCGGCCCAGCCTGGGGTCTCCTGTAGAACTCATCCCTGCACTCCTCACAGTGACGCCCTTTGGTATTCCCTGTGCAATTCCAACAGAAACCTGCAAGAGTGTCACACGTCAGTCAGCCCAGCACAAACCACTCGGCGTTTAGCAACAGCTCTGATCGGAGCAACCAGGAGGCAATTCAGGTGGTTAGGCAAACAATTTCTTCCAGTCGTTCAGTTATCTGCGGAGATTTCTAACGTGTAAGTGAGGAACTTGATAAAATCAACGCAGCCACGTGGACCCTGTTCACTGTTTCCGTGTCAGACCCCAATTCCATCCCTGTTCACTGTATTATATTCCAAAGAGATAATCTGACTGAATCTATGTATATTATATTGACTAAAGGCATTAATTAAGAAATAAAACTGGACGTTCACTTCATCACTGCTTCTGGGGCATTGCAGACTCTGTGCGCCTTACGTCTCACCAACCTGTACCCAACCTCTGGGACTTGAAGTAAGTGACGGTACGTCCCTCTAGGGTGCGCAGTTCATTGTTGGTTCGGACTATCTCCAGTAGGTTTACAACACAATACAAAATTACATTTGTACAGCGCTTTTCACGTTTGGTCAATGAGTAGCGTTCAGGTGCAGGCTGTTCAAGGCCGGTTACAGAAATTCATTCCAGCCTAAACCTCCCTGGTCCCTTCCTCAGAGGTGACCTTTCTCTTGCTGGAGGCCTCTCTTTGCTGAAACGATCAAGGTTTATATAAAGCCTGACTTCCCCGTGCCACATCTCCACTGAGGATTAGCGGAGGCTCAGATGGTTGTTGGCCCCCGAGGGTTAATTGCTTCGAACCCTTGAGAAGTGCAAATGGGTCGCCGCCAACTTACTGCACAGAAGATGAAGAGATTTCGGCCGTTCAGTTCATTTCCAGAAACCTATTCATTTTTCATTTGTTCCCCCTTCCCCCAGGCTCCTCCCCCACCATCTTTCCCAGTTCTGTCCAAATCCTTTGTCCTACACTGTACCCTTAAGCTTCGAGCAGCAAGTTGCATTGACAGAGCGCCCTTCACACACAGGATAATGTCTCGGAGCGCTGCACAATACAAAACAAAATTACATTTGTACAGCGCATACCAAGGCAAGAGGACGTCCCAAGGCGCTGGGACTGGACACGGAGTGAGGAGACAGGGGTAGGGGAAGGCAACCATAGGCGCAATTGAAGAGCTAGGTTTTAAGGTGGGATTTGAACGTAGGTAGGGAGATGAGGGGAGGAGAGGGGAGAAGGGCGGGGAGGGCAATGCAACGGTAGAGGCGAGGAGTTCCTGAGATTTGGAGAAGTAATGACAGAAAGCCCAATAGGAAGTGGGGATGAGGCTTGTGTTAGCTGAGCGAGGTCCTGACAGTGTGGCGCTCTGCCACCCAGCACTGCAGATTGATACTCCTTATGTGAGGCTTACTGTGATCCCATTCGGGTTGGCTTTTGCATACAATTCCAGTTTGGAGTCAGGCCACTAGATGGGGCATTGAGCTGACCCCAGGAGCCTGTCAGCTTCACGGAGAACCACACTCGGGAGATGCGCCGAGCCACAAGAGGAAGCAAAATGAAAACAACTCCCACAATATATACACACGCAGTACAGAGATAATAAACCCAGCCGTTATGCAAGAACAGGACAGTAAGGGGAGTTTCGCCCTGGGTGTCTAGGCCAACAATCCTCCAGAGAAATCAGTCAATCTTCTCCTGGCTGTTTAGGGGATGTTGTCGTGTGCAAATTGGCTGGTGGTTGGCTTTACAGATGTTCTGATATTAAAGGGTGCTGTATCAAATGGAAGGATTACCATTATAATATATTTCAACCTTATCGTTTCTATTTATTATTATTAATAATAACAATGATAATAATCCTTGCATTCAATGCCTTTCATGGTTGGAGGAGCCTCAATGCCCTTTGGGGGATATACAGCAATGTGAAGTGTAAGCGACTGTATGTGTTGCAGGGGAACCATTGCAGAAGTATTCTCAGTATTTGTGCCAAAGACGGAATTGAAGTGATGTCAGTACAAGGCCGGGGAACAAATGGCAATATCACACACCCACCTACCCCTCCCACCCCATCCCCGGCCTGCAGCCTGTCCCCTGATGCTTGATCTGCCGTCGTCGTTTACTGCTGTGGTTGTTTAAAAGGAAAATAATGGCTTGGAGCCTATGGTAATTTCCTCCCACCAGCCCGTAACCCTTATCAGCCAGTGTATAATGGGAAAGTGCTGCTGTATATTTACAGTAACAGGAGATCAGTTAAGGTCTGTGGGTGGGATTTTGAAGGTTGCACTCTGGGGCCCGACACAGAGAATTGTTGCTGTGTGTTTGGTTTGTAGCCTGGTTCTCATTCACTAACCACCCTCCTCGTAGAACACCGTGGTTTGGAGTCCAATAAACCCACATCCCACGTTATGGGGGGGTGGGGGGTCGGAGGAAGGGGGGAAGAGGAAATAGCCACTGGTTAGTGCTTCCGGGGTGTCGAAAGTGCTCTGTGATGCTGCCCTGCGTGAGGGACACGGTATTAAATGCAAGTTGTTGTTGTTGTTGTCAGGTCGTTGCCATTGTGATCAATTCCTGCGCATTGTACACGGGAGGTTGGGCTTGGTCAAACAACAACAACATGCGTTTATACAGCGCCCCTCACACTGTGTAACACCGAGCTGGCTTAATGTCTGCAGGGAAACTACCCTGTAAGCCAACCCGAGCTGCAGCAAGGCTGCGTTGACAACGTAAAGGTCACAATGATGTAATTAACAAAGAAGTGTACTTGTCACTGACTCAGCCTCTTACTGAGATAGAGAGAGAGAAAGAAACACATTCTTTCTTTAAGCAGTGCCAGCCTGCTGGCAATGGGTCGATCTACGCAAATTGTTTATTGTAACCCTCCTGCTTTCCAACACAGTCAGTAACTCAATTTGCTTGTATACTGCAGGTTGGGTGGGGGGGGGAGGGAAGGGGGGGGAGAAACCACAGACAATGTGCCTTGCTGCACTTGCAAAGGTTCCGCTCCCTTAGCACTTACTTGAGAGCTGCAGACTGTTTATTTAAAGACAGTGGAATTACCGTAAGCAAATCTGCGACTGTCAAACACGCACACGACCTTTCACGCCGTGCATTGCCTTTTAGGGCGAGGGTTCTGCCTGGGAAGGGGGAAGAGTCCGGGGTAAAAATACGAGTACACAAAAAACAAACACCCCCCAAGGTCGTACATTTGTTAACACAGGAAAAGGAGTAGGCCATTCAGCCCCTTGAACCTGTTCCACCATTCTATAAGACCATGGCTAATCTGTACCTCAACTCCAAGAAACGGGTGTAAAAGCGTCAATGTAGCAATTATAATAATAATAATTATAATAGTAATGCTTGTATTGAAAGTAGTGACTTATCACGATGTCAAAATATCTCAAAGTGCTTCATAGATTTATCCTAAATCATAGCGAGTGTAAAGACTGTGTAGTTTGTAAATGAACGGAGCAGCCATTAACAGCCCAGACGGCCAGCCAGCACCCCCATCCAACCCAGCCCCCCCCCCACCTAACCCAGCTCTCCACCCAATGCCCCCACCTAACCCAGCACCCACCCCCCAACATCCCCACCTAGCCCAGCTCCCACCCAGCCTTGACTGTAACTAGAGCAGCTCAGGAACACTTCAAATGATATTAACCAACTCCGTTTGGAAATGGGAAATGAAGTCCCATTTCCTGTTTGAATAATTGAATCAGGACAGGTGCAGGTCAGAGCTACTCACCAGAGTATCTGATGCCATCCCTAACCAAAGCAGCAAGGCCAATCCTACCACGCGTTAAGCCTTCGCACGGAGTCTATAATTGAGGCACCTCTGATTTTGCTTCTCTTTTTATCAGCTATTAATTGTTTGGCACCTGGTCCCGGCTTCAGAGCAAACTGCCTCTTGTTAATCAGAGTCGTTCACTTTCTCCCATTTGTTAATCAGAGCTGTTGCTGTAAAAGTGATTTTCACCAAATGCCCTCTGCCAACAAAACAATCTCATTAAAGACCAGGAGCCTTAACAGTGTGTGTGTCACTGACACCCTCTTGGGAGCAACAACAGTTTAATACTAATAATTACTATAATCCTTCCGTTTGATACAGTACCTTTCACCTCAAAGCGCTTTGCGGGATTTACTGTAACAAGTGTTGCCTTAAGTGTTTTGAAAGCAAAAAGACATTTTGAGTTATAACAAGGCCCACATGTCATGTCACGTCAGCCTGGAGCTCCTGTGGGTTTGAACCCACAACCTTATGACCCCATGTGATCAACTGGGTCTTTAACAGATGCTGATCACTCACTTTCTGATCACTAGAGCTACTCTATAAGTACTCAAGAACACCAATCTCCAGCGAAGCAAGAGAAAAGCGAGGGAAATGAGAGCACTCTCTCCAATGTGATCTTTCCCTTATGTCCATGAGGAATGCTCACTGAATGGCTTGGGCATATGGAAGGACCTCAAGTTAAGCCGGTGGATATCACCTTGTTATAAACTGCAGTGTCACAGGCTTTACACTGACTGGTGTCTAGATTGCGTTCACATTCCAGCTGGTCATTATATTCCTCAGAGAATATCCCAGGTGGCCTGGAGAGTCCCAGGTGTGTGTGCTTATGTGTGCGCGTGTGTGAGCTCCTCCCTCCCTCCTCCATGTACAATGGCTGTACATGGCCTCCCCGCGCTGCGCCAGTGTTTACCTGTGTGATAGTCGCAGGTGGTTGAGTGGTTGCTGCACTGGCAGTGTTGACAACCGGCCTCGCTGAACCCATGATGTCCCAGCCGACACTGGTCGCATTTCAGACCAGATACTCCCACTTTGCAGCGGCATCTCCCCGTGCTGCAAACACAAGAGAAAGAGTTACGGCAGGTCTGTCATCAGCCACGAGAACACTGCCTGGCACCGCTTGGTCATCCCATTGCACCTAAGTGCAGCACAAAACAACAACAACAAGATTACATTTGTATAGCGCCTTTCACGTTTCAGGATGTCCCAAGGCGCTGACTCCCAAAGGCAAGGTCGCCTGAACTCAACATAATAATAACCTTACATTTGACACAGCGCCTTATCACATAATTGAGACGTCTCAAAGCGCTTCAGAGAATATACTGTAAAGTGAATTGACTGTGTATTTTGTGGGCGAAACGCGGTAGCCGATTGCACACAGCAGCGACCCACAAACAGTCATGGATTGAATGGCTGATGGTATGAGGCAACGTGAAAGCTGCTCCCACGGGCTCCTGGCCCAGGCTGCTCTTTTTTGTTTGTGACGCTTCTTGAAAAGAGTCCAGCTTTTCTGCTCAAGCGTTCTCTTGCTCTTCTCCCAAATAACCCGGCCGCTCACTCGCCCACACGCCTACACTCGGCCTTTACAAACAGGCCTCATTGTGAACTCCTCACGCTAGCTGAAGAATAGCCCCTTTACCAACGATGTCTGGATGGTGGACACGAGCTGAAACGCTGCCTTGTGTTTTTCGTTTGCTACCAGTTGATCCAATGATACCAAAATCACTTCAAAAACAAAAGCCACCAGTAGGTTGGACACCAGCCCTTTAAACACCCCCCACTCTCCACCCCCCACGCTCATTGTGAGATAAGATCAAAGGAACTTGTTTTTACTGTAGCTGCCTGTTTTTGCCAGAGAGAAATAAAATAGCTTTTGTGCCTCGCTGGGAACTTAGTGGAAAATGTTTTACTTTCTTTCCTTCACCGTCTCTCTGTGTTGTTAAAGGCTTGTAATGCGCTGCACCTGTTGGGTTATATTTTGATCTGTTCAAATCTTGCTTTGATTATTACACACAACCGTTATTGACTTCACCCGCAATGTGGAGGTGCCTCGACTAGCGGCAGATATATTACTGAATGTTCTTCTACTTCAGTGGTGGTCCATCTCAAGAACGTTCCTTTTCAACCCTACCTTCGGTCATCTCGCTTCCTCACCCTCCCTGCCCTCCAACCCTCCTGATCCCAGCCCCCAGCTCGGGTGCAAACCCTTTGGGACATCCTCCCGACGTGAAAGGAGATGAGTAAATGCACTTTGTTGTTGACACAAAAATAGGAAGCAGCAATACATTCTCCGGTGATTGTCCCTTCATGTCCATTATCATACAAAGATTTTGCTGGTAAATATCCCTCGACACTGTAACAGCTCCGGCTGCACGTATTCACTTGGGAGATGACTGGAGGCATCGCTATGACAACAGTGGCAGCTCAGGGAGTAAGCTGTGGAGATCATTTCCCCAGCGTCGCTGCTGTATCACCTGACAACTACGACACAGGAGCAGGGAATGAAACCACCGCACGTTGGGAATCTCAGTCGGGGAATAAAACGTTTGGAAAATCTGACAGCAGGGAAAATGCCTGCCTTTGGGGGAGGGGAGACAGAGAAGGGAAGATAGTGTCGAGGTTCTTTTGTTCTTTTTCTTTATAAGATAAAATTGAGTGTAGAATTCTACTCTTGTATTTCTCATCAGCAAACCCTTGGGGCACGGGCTATTTGCACAGCAAATTAGTGAACCATCCACGGGCAGCTGGATTGACCGCATTTCAGTCAACTACGCAGAGCGAGGGATTGAACTGAGCGCATAGCGCAGTGAGCAAACAGACCCTACAATGCATGTCAGATCCCTACGCAACATAACATAGGTCAATCTGCTGAATCAGGAGCTTGCGTGTGGGGGAGGGAGAGAGACAGTGGGGAAAGCTCCAGTCTGCCTCTCCAAATATTATTGACTAGCCAGGCTAGTTGGTCTGTTGTCAGCCGTGACCTTGAGTAACCCTGATTGGGTGAACTATGTTTCTTGCCATATCAATGTTTGTTTCATACACACTCATAGACACAGACACACATACACAGACACACATGCACGTGCACACATACATACACAGGCACATGCGCACGGACCCACACAATCAGGTACACAAAACATTTTAATGCCGTAAGTGAAAGGGACGGACTGTTTGTGTGTCTGTGCAATCCTCATTTCAAAGCTGTGTGTTGCGATCTCACAGCTTAAAGCAATTTCACTAATGACATGGTTTGTGCCCTTTTATCAGCGTGGCTGGGTGTAGTTCTGTCCCTTCACTTCTCCGAAATCAAACTTGTGATTGAAAGCCATTGCTCCAGGTCCCGTCCGCCTGTCCAGGTGGACGTTAAAGATCCCACGGCACCATTCAAAATGAAAAGGGAAGTTCTCTCTCCTGGTGTCCAAGTCAACAATCTCCCAAATAAAAAAAATTGGTCACTCACACCATGGCTGTTTGTGGGATATTGCTTTGTGGAAACTGACTGCCGTGTTTCACCCACAAAATACCCAGTCGCTCTGCTTTACAGTGTATCATTTACACACAAAGAGAGATGTATTTACTAGGTGACATTGCAGAGTGCACGGCAAAGTGCAGTGCAGTGCGGAAAGACAAGACACTACGGCTGCTATTTCCTCACAACCAGAATTACTTCCTCTCTATTCCCTGCAGCACAATATTCTGCATTATTCTGAATGTAAGTGCGTTGGTCACAGTGTAGCTTGTCAGCACGTGGATTTGTTTTGGTTTTGCGGCGAGAAAGATAGAGGTTCCCCCCCAAACCACCCAGCAAGCACCAGTACCGAGTGCGGGGGTTGAGGTGCTGACAGCTTTGATGTTTCCAATCACGGAAATCTTTACTATCTTGAACAGCCATCCCTTTCATCTGCCAACCAGGCCAACACCTCATCATTTCCCAGCCTCACTATCCTTAAGTGCCTTCACATGAGGAGTCACATTCACACGAGGAGTCACATTCACACAGCTACGGAAAGGGATGGAGCAGTGTTTGATTGAAGGTTTATACTCCCCCTGAACACATGCTCGACCTCTCCGCAACGGTGAAGCTGGAGAGCAATGTTTGTCTGACAGATATTGACCGAATCGGATGTGTTTCTCAAAGTTGAAAGACATCATCGCAGAGTGATGTGTGATTTGGCTGTTTTCCAATCATTCCCAAGTCCAATTGATGAATATAATTAGAATTGCTGGTGATCCACGAACAAATCCTCAACTTCTGAAGGGTCAACAACAACCAATAGTAGTACCTGGCATGTACAGTATATAGCGACATTCACAAGAAGAGCGTCTCGGAGCAAAGTACAGTGACGGAGTCGGAAACTGAGCAAGAGAGACAGGGGACGTGACCATGGGCACAGTTGAAGAGGTTGCTATTACAAGATCAAGGCTCTGACAAAAGAAGCTTGTCAAACGGACATTTTAAAACCGGTTCAATCACGGGCGCTGTACCATTTGCAAGGTATATTATTTATTACCATCACTGGATGAAAGGCTACGATGGGATGAATTCCCAGAGTGCGCTTCTTTCTCTTAGCCCCAAATCTCTCGTCGATAGACAATCCAGACCAGCTGGGGCTCTGTTTAATAATTAGACAAAACCACAGCAGCAGTGAGAGAGAATATCAACACTTTTAATATTCATTCCTGAAAGCCAGCACCTAAGCAGTCTCTCACTGAAGCCGCTCAGAGGCACGCAGCCAGACATTTCGTCTGTTTCCAGAACTGTGTTTTAATTTCAAGCAAAAAAACATACTCCGTGCAGGTCAAGACAGGATGTGGAAGCGTTAGGGACACAGACACAGAAACTCTGGAAAGGCTGCTGCTGCTGCTTGTTAAACAGTTTCTAAATCCCTTAAAATGATTTACAGAAATATTTATCTAAACCAAAAAATATTTCCAAGATAGTCAGCCATCGGTTTTTTTTGTTTCTTGACCGAGTCATTAATTTGAGTCCCATCTGTCTTGTGATTTTAATGGATAAATGTGATAATAACCTCCTACACCTTCTTCTCCTTCCTCTCCACCCCCTCTGTTTACCTAGCAGTCAGTAGGAATCCAGTTGTTAGTCGATTGGCAGATCACTTTTCCGGGGGTAATATTCCCTTCAAAAAATAAAAATTAATATAATAATATTTTAGTCAATCAATCCACAACTGTTTATAGTACGCTGCTGTTGGCTGCCACATTTCACTCAGAAAATATACAGTCCATTTAATTTACAGTATATCCTGTGAAGCACTTTGAGACGTCTCGAAGACGTGATAAGGTGCAATATCAAATGAGGATTATTATTATTAGGGTCTGGTAACTTCTGGTCAGTGCCTGCAGCCCCCACCACACTGATGTCTGTGATCCCCACGACGGCCACGGACACTCAATGCACTGTTCACATTTTCTGTTCCGTCACAGGAAAGGATATGTCAAAGTTCATCAAAAAAAACCACAAAGCCCGTTCTTTCAAAGGCTTGACAGTGACTTACAATTGGGACGTGGTGGTGGTGGGGAGGGGGATCGCACATAACAGGGACTTTTTGTGGGGGAAGACGAAAAAGGGTTGCGAGCTGGTCTGATGCCAGGAAATTCTAATGACATAATTGGCACAAAAATAAGCGTCGTGATTCAAAACGGACTGAGCTGGAACAGGAACCGACTGTTTGCAGCAAGGAAAGCTGTTCAAACTTTGCCTGAACTTTTGTTTATGCACAACGTACATTTTGAAACTTCTGCTGACCAAAAGTGTTGAACTTCCTTACCCGCAGGAGCATAGCAGATGTCTTTGCTGCTGCGCTGGGACACCAGTAAGGATTTTAAACGCTTTTGGACAGAGGGGAAGGGGCAGAGGTTGCGGTCGGTGGTAATGACAGTAAGATGGCAGGAGCTGCTCTCTGTGTAAAATTTCCCTGCAATTGTAGAATGACACAGAACAAAGTCTAGCTAAACAACGACAAATTATCTTTACACAGCGCCTTTCAAGTCAGGAGGACATCCCAAGGCACTGGACAGTCAAGGAAGTGCACCCGAGCAGGGGGGATTGGGATCAGGAGTGGTGGAAGGCAGTGAGGGTGGGGGTAGGAGGGTGACCGAAGACTCGGTCAAAGAGAAGGGCCTTGAAGGAGGCAAGGGAGAGAGCAAGGGGAAGGGAGTCTGAGATAGAGTCCCAAAGGGTGGGCACAGAAAGGCTGACAGCCCGACTGCTACTGCCGGGGTGGGCCAGGCGGGGGATATAGAGCAGGCTGGAGCCCGCTGAGCGGAGGAAGGAGAGGACAGGTCAGTATGGGACCATACGGCTTGCTATTGAGAACACTGTGTTGCCCTATTAGGATCACCAGGCTGTGCCAGGCTGTGACACGCTGTGTGGGGCTGTGCAGCGCTCTGTGCCAGGAGCCAAGCCCCCAGGAGGTGATGTGGATTGGGACAGGGTTACATTTTGCCTAAATCGATAGCAAACGTCTGACCCTTGATTCATGAAGAAGGATCCGCTTTGTGCAAAAGTGAAATTAATTCCATTTGTTTTTGCTCCCGAGAAGTTGCCTGGCACAGCAGTCCTGTCGGGTGTCGATTCCACTTGTGATGTTGGCTGGACGCCAGGACTAAGCAGGAAAGTCAACATAAGGAATATGATGGCTTCAGTAGCAGCGGGGAGGCAAACACTGAGAGCACGAGATGGCATCACTGCATGCTGGCTTTTAACACTTGACTTGTAAGAAGAAGCCTTGCATTTGATGCAGCGCTGTGTACATTGCTTGTTTCCAGGCCAGATCAAATACAGGGATTATTATTATTATCGAGCTTCACCCACAAAATACAGTCATAACACTCTACAGTATATCCTGCAAAGTGCTTTCAGACGTCTCAAAAACAACAAAGGAGCAATTTCACCATTCCATCTCCCTCTCCCCCACTCCTCCCCTCCCCCTCCCCGAGGCGCAATTCAGCTGAGCTTGATTCCCGCTGGCGTGTGTGTATCCACGCTCACTAATCCCCCCATTGGCCCGACTCTCATAGCCTCACAGCAGACATGCTGTTCAGGGCCACTTTCACAGAGCTTTTCTAGGTCAGCTGTAATAACGCTACTTAATGCTGACTGATGTGTCTGTCTTCAACCCTGACCCACAACCTGCGGGAAGGGGGGGCGGGGGGAGGGGGGGGGGGGAAGAAGACGAAGACCGTCAAGATTGTATCTGTTGCACTTGTGTTGGGTCCGTTGTAATGTACATTTCTCACCGCACGTGAGATTAATTACAATCGCTGGACTTTTACAGTACATTCTGTGAAGCGCTTTGAGACGTCTCAACATCATGACAAGGCGCTGTATCAAATGCCTAATCCAAATGATGGGCACCTCAGACGATGCCGAGCTGGATGGCCCTAGTCCTGCCCCCACCCCCCCCCCCCACCCTCTCTAATACGGCAGTGATTGTTAACATCAGTGTGGCTCGAGGCGAGGAGGAAGGGCTTTATCTGGCAGAATGGTCCCAGCTCAGACATTGAGTCCCAGCCTCCGCCCTCGCTGCCTGGTTTCTATTAAGAGCTTTGGACAAAGAAGAACCTGTGTTGCAAAGCGACCAGATTCAAGACTGCAATTACATGCCCTGTAACAAGCTCTTAAACAAACGTTGGATGGGTTTGATTTGGTGGAGTCGGACCTGGCACTTTATGGTCGGAACAGAGCACACTCCGTCCCTCAAAGGCAGCGAGTGAACAAATTAGCCGCGGTGTTCGGCCACAAAACACACAGTCACTACACTTTTTACAGTGAAATCTTACATGATAAGGCGCTGTATCAAATACAAAGATTATATTATTATTATAAAGAGTGAGGCATAACTGCCCATCACAGCGTGTCTTTGACACTCTTGCTAATGCAAGTTAATTATTATACTCTTATATCAACAGAGAGAGTTGGCAGCGAGTTGAACCTGAGAAACAATTATCCTTGTATTCTGAGCAAGCTGACGATGGGTAACCTTGGGCAGAGAGAAAGTCAGAGAGAGAGAGCGTGTGTGTGAAAGAGAGAGAGAGAGAGAGAGGTGGTGGTAGAACAGCAGAAAATGTGCTATTTTCATCCAGTTAGCACCAGGTAAACCAAACTAAGAGTTTACACACACACACCAAGAAACCAGTTCCTCTGAAAGAGGATTTCAGCTCCGTCAGTCACACTTGGGCATAAAAAGTACTGACTCAAGCAAAAAAGCACTACACTGATGGCACGTCTGGTGCTCAGAGCAGCAGATATAATCAATCAGCACAACCACATTCACCTTCAGGCAACACAGCAGCGCGATGCGCAATGACTTTGGTGTAAAATATATGTGTGTGTATATGTATGTGTGTGTATGTGTATACTTAAGCATTCTGGAACACTGCCCCACGTGAGGGGGCACTATATAAATGCAAGTTGTGTGTGAGTGTATGTGTGCGTATGTTTTTTTTGTGTTTTTTTTATGAACTCCTTTCTCTATGGCCTGGATTGCCGAACAAATGAAATAAAATGGGCAGCGGGACAAGGGTCTGAGAACAAACTGTTGTTTTCCTCTCTGCCGGGAGTTGAGGGGGGGCGGGGAAAAGAGACGGGGGTGGGGGGGGAGGTTGGTTTGGAGTGATGTGCTATCCAGACAGAACAGTTCCTGCCAAACAAACAACGCCCGGCTGCACATCTGGCCCCAGTTGTGCCAAAGGAACACTGTTCACAGCGAGTGACCGGGGGCTGATGGGGGCCATTTACATCTTAAAATGTAAACAGAAGAAGGAGATGTTGTTCGTTCTGTAAGATGAATGGAATGAGGCTGTTTCACTGACATTGGATGAAGCATCGAGACGGCTCAAAGTGCTTGGCAGGACTTCACTGTGAAGTGCAATGAATGGACTGTGGACTTTGCAGACAAACACAACAGCCAACTTACACACAGCAATGTCCTGACAAGCAGTTTTGAAGTGAATGTCTGATTGTTATCTGTGGTGTGGGGGAAGGGGGGGCTTTGCCCCATTTGACAAGAAAAACAGTCACTATACATGGTATTATGTTGGCTTAGTTGGTAGCACGTTGGCTGTCAGGTTTGCCTACAAAACACACAGTCACTACACTTTACAGTGAAATCCTATGAACCAATTTGAGATGTCCTCCCGATGTGAAAGGGGCGCTATCAAATCGCCATATCTTTTGAGAGAGACATAAACAATGCATTGTACAGAGACGTGTCATAGGTAATGAACAACAGCACATTACAGCAGAGAAAAGCCTCTGGGAAAGGCTTCATCGTAGCCCTCTGAGACGCTCTCCCTTGACGGGCGCTATATAAAAACAAGTTGTTGTTGTCATCAATGTGATTATTAGAGTTCAAGCTGATGTTCAGAGAATCTGTCCTTTCCTGATCCCTCTTTCCTGCCCCATATAAAAAAAATGCTGTAAATCATTTTTGTTAAAATAACAAGCAGATAAACCTCAGTCAGCCACAGTGGCCTTTTGTGAGGTTGGAAACAGAAAACTAGACTCCCACACACATAGGCAGCTCCTGTCATTTTATATCATGATGGGAAATACTCCAATAGTAGCCTAAGTTCAGCTGCCTCCCAGCGATAGCGCCTCAAACTATCATAAACGCTCCAGTAACTCGTCATCAAGCCTGTCTGTCCATCTATCTGGGGTCAGATGTACAAACGGGGTGAACTTTAAATCATCAGAATAATCTTTACATTTGATATAGTATCAGGAGGATGTTTCAAAGCGCTTCACAGGATTTGCTACAAAATGTGTGTGACTCTGTATTGTGTGGGCAAACTCAGCAGCCAATTTGTGCAAAGCAAAGTCCCACAAACAGCCATGAAGTCAGCGATCAGTTTTATCTGGATGGAATTGACGGTCAGGACACTGGGAGAAAGAAACTCCTTTTCTTTATAAACAGAGCAAGGCATCTTTAACATCCACCTGAACAAGCACAGTTAGGACATCAGTTTAACCTCATCTGAGGAAAGGGACTTCCAATGATACAACAACAACAACAACAACAAGATTCCATTTATAGAGCGCCTTTCACGTCAGGAGGACGTCCCAAGGCGCTGCACAGTTGGGTCATGACCCGAGCAGGGGGGAAATGGTCAGGGTGAGGGGAGGGAAGGGAGGGAGAGAGGAGGGGGAAATGGTCAGGGTGAGGGGAGGGAAGGGAGGGAGCGAGGAGGAGGAAGAGAGTCGAGAGGGGAGCTGAAGGCACGGTCAAAGAGAAAGGTTTTGAGACCGGCCTTGAAGGAGGAAAGGGAGGAAGCAAGGCGAAGGCACTGGGGGATGGAGTTCCAGAGCCTCGGGGCTGAGAGGCTGAAGGCCCGACCACCGATAGTAGGGCGGTTGGGCGGGGGACGTGGAGCAGACCGGAGCCAGAGGAACGGAGGGTACGGGCAGGTAGGTAGGGGGATAGTAGGTTGGAGAGGTAGGAGGGAGCAAGGCCGTGAATGGCCTTGTAGGTGAGGATGAGGATCTTGAAATCAAAAACAGCTCTCCCTCCCTTTATGTCTGGCATTCCTGCCCCCACCAAATGCTAACCTCACATCAAATCATTCTTCCAACAAATGTGAGACACCTCGACTGGCAAAGGCTCCTCACTGCCGGTCGGTAAGGGGTTAACTCCGAGTTCCTGTAAAGCCTGAACTGGGGGCTGGGGGCAGTAAATATCACTCCACAAATTGCTCTTACCTGTCACAATGAAAGTTGGCAGCTCCCGTGGCATTGCATCCACAAAGCACGCACTCTCCATTGGTGATGTTGGGGTGATAGCCAGCCACACACTGGTCACAGACCAGGCCTGTGTACCCAGCCAGGCAGTCACACTGTCCTGACGTCACATCACAGGAGGCTGGGTCAGCGCTCCCCACCACACTGCAGTTACACCTTGCTGTTGCTGCTGTTGATATTGTTGTTGATGTTGTCCTTGCTGTTGCTGTTGTTGCTGTTGCTGCTGTTGTTGCTGTTGTTGCTGCTGCTGTTGTTGTTGTTGTTGTTGGCTCTGCGGCGGGAAAGATTATGTGAAATAAATAGTAAGGAATCACTGCTCTCAAATAAGATTAAATAATCCTTGTATTTGATACAGTTTATTTTCAATAAATAATCCTTCTATTTGAAAAAGCATCTCAGCATGCCTTTGAGACATCTCCAAGCACTTCACAGGATTAATGTAAAGTATAGTTACGGTGTATTTTGTAGATGAACCAGCAGCCAGTTTCCACAAAGTAATGGTCCACAAACTATTTAGGGGATTGTTGACCAGGACACCGGGAGGGAGAGAGAAATCCCCTTCTCTTTCCAATACCATTAATATCCACCTTAACAGGCAGACAGGACCTCGGATTACAAAAAATTGTTGATTTGTTTTATGGTTGTTTGTGGGACATGACATTGCTTTGTCGGCCTACAAGATACAGTCACTACATTTCACAGAGAAATGGAAAAGCGCTGCGAGACATTTCAGCATAAGGTTATCATTACTATACAGTAGGAACGTAGGGTTATATTGCTGTATTGTGAAAATGCACTGCACCACTTGGCGCTGTTTCACTGACATGTTCCTTAATTAACCTGCTGACTGTCATTTAATTTGTTCTAATTAACGGAAACCCATTTCCAGCCTCATTGTTCCTATCTGATATGGTTTATCTTATTTTGATTAACAAGTATTTGAGTTTAGAGTCAGAGTTCACTCTGTCTCAGGCCCCCCGGGCCTAGTGTGACCCAGCTGGGAGGACAGTGTCCGTCTGCTCATTCCATCTTTGCGACTCACACTCTGGCTGGAAGTTCATACGAACAGAAGAATTTTCTAGGCAAAAGAAGATCAAGATCCATCCAGGCCACCTTCCATCATCCTGGCAGTCGCATAACAGGTCATGTCCCAAACTATACACTGTATCCCCCAGATATTACGTTCTAACAGAAATCTATCTCATTTATTCTTGAAAGAATTGACACTTTCTGCTTCCGCTGTCTGCCTTTACCATACGTTTCCAACTCGCTCACTGAAGTAGTGTCTCCGCAGTTCTCAACCGTGTTTGCATTGCGATGGACGCAGTGCCTCTCCATCTCTTCAAAATGCCTCAAAGCACTAATGCAGATCAACACCTTTGGAGTATTTTCGCTCCCCCCACCACCCCACGACCACTTCACAATTCAAGATCAAAAGTAAAAACAGAGAGTGCGTTTTTGACTCATTGAGAAACTTACTTTTCTTGCAACCAGAATCCCCTCCGCCCGCCCGCCCGCCATTACACAAATGTTCTGAACAACAACAACTTGCATTTATACAGTGCCCTTCAGGCAGGGCAGTGTCTCAGAGCTTAACAATGGTGGAGCCTAACTCCAAGCCGGGAGAATGAGGAGTTGACTGTAAACACGGTCAAAGAGGAAGGTCTTCAGTCATGATCTAAAAGAGGGGCGAGAGGGGGCAAGGCAGAGGGATTGAGTGAGAGTGTTCCAAAGTGGCTGAAAGCGTGGCCGCCGATGGTGGAGCGGAGAGGACGAGGGACTAGGCCGGAACATTGATAAACAGGATCTTGTATTGATGCTGCGGTCGTTGGTTGGGACGTGATTTAACTGGACTCCTCTTGGCACTTGTACTAGTTGTTTGGACGTTACATAAAGCTGACATGTGGCAATGATTTGGCTGAGGTGAAGGTGCCGGCATGAAAGAAGCAGCTGCAGGCAATTCAAAGCAAGTGCTGCTGGGTTGCTGTTTCACTCGGGCTCTGCTACAGCTAAAGAGAGGCTGAGCGATGGGCCCGAGCATGCTGCAGAGAGGTGGGTTTAGGTTAACCCCTTCCTTCCCACGGCCCAATCCCCCACCTCAGTGCTGAGCCCATGGTCATGGAGGGGAGTAGGGGGAGGGGCGAGGAGGGCAATGAGTCGGGCAATTTATTTTAGCACGGATGCCAGCTCATCCATTCATGGGCCAAAGTTGGTCTTGGGTCCACAGGGCGCCCACCTTATAAATAAGGGGGCAACCTTGTTGAGAATATTACTATTGTGACTTGACTGCTTGTTACCTGCCGTTACTTCCTGAATCCACTTATTAAATTCTTTCTTTTTAAAAAAATATATTTTGCATTAAAAAATGCCGCCGTCTCCAACCAGGCTGGAAACATCAAAAGCACGAAGTGGAACGTGCGGGCGGGTGAAATATTCCATCTCTCTTTCTCTTTTTTTACGACTCTGATAATTGGACGCCCAGCCTCAAAGCAGACCTGCTCCCAGACGCCAATAAATTCTGGTTACGGCAGAACAGTCTGAGGAACTGCAGATGTGTGTGTCCTTGTGTTGAGAATCACCTGGGCTTTGCTTTGCCTCCGAATACAGGAACAGGAGGAGGCCATCCAACCCCTCAAGCCTGTTCTGCCATTCTATTAGATCATGGGTGATCTGTACATCAACTCCAATTATCTATATCCCTTGATATCCTGGACTCACAATAATCTATCCACCAGTCTTGAAAACTTGAATGGATCCAGCATCCACAGCTTTGTGGAAAAAATGCTTCCTGGTTTCACACCTAATTGGCCTAGCTCTAATGTAAAGATCAAGCCCCTTGTTCTGGATTCCCTGACTAGAGTTTCATCTGAACAGCGAGCGCTAAGTAGCGTAACCAGACAGCGAACCACTTCATCCATCATTGCTCTCTCTCTTTCTCTTCGAATGCACTTCCGCATCACAAAAGATCTGTTGGCTTCCGCCTGTGTCAGCACCTCGGGTACCATGCCTTCACGGAAGACAATAGATCACTTTATTAGATCTTCACGACTGAATCTTGAAGACGAATGAACCAGCGAATCGGAGAATCCTTGCTTCGAACAATAAATTTGACTGAGGCACGTCCACGATAGCAGAACAATAAAGATAGAGAGAGAGACACTGCTGTTTGCTCTTGTGCTGAGCGATAACAAGTCATCTTTAGCCCTCCGGTCGGTCCTCTTCTCAATCTCGCTCCCGCTCCTGGTGACGTATCTGAAGGTCAAATACTGAACCAAAGAGCAGGAGCTGAGTGTTAGTGTGGAAGGTTATATATGCGTTTGAGAATGTAAACTCAAAACCATAATTTCAGATACATTGAGGCAGCCAGACAAGAGGGCATGGGATCAGGGCTGCAAAGGGCCAATTTCAAGCAGACACCAGGAAGCAGACATTGTGCAGACAAAGCTGTGACTGTAGTAGCCTCTGAATCCCAATGTTCTCCAGGGGCTGTAACAATACTGCCCTTTAACGTGACTCTATTAACCCGAGATGAGATGTGTGTGAGCATACGCGGCACAGACAGTCCTGACCGCCCTCCACAGTGCACGCTGCTGAGATGATGTAGGCATGATAATTGACAATGGAGCTACACTATAACATGTACATCTATGGAAAACAGGTACCGGGAGACGGCAGAGGGAGAGGGGGATGGAGATGGAACAGGTTAGCGTAAGCACAGTCAAAGAAGTCTTCAGTCATGATCTAAAAGTGGGGAAAGAGGAGGGGCAAGGCACAGGGACTGAAGGACAGAGTTGCAAAGATTCGGAGCGAAGGGGCTGAAAGCGCGGCTTCCTTCTTGACACTCTGCTCGATGTGTGTGTGTCATATAACTGAACTTCTGCAAATTCCGATTCTGCCACATATCTGCTCCCACTCTCCAGTTCGAATGAAAGAGGGCTGCAGAGGGCTGTCTGCTGCTAGAGCACACAAACACTGTAAGGTCAACCAGGTACAAATTCCTGGCATTTAGCTCTTTCCCCCAGCGTTTGTTTAGTGTTGCATTATGTTACACAACGCCAGTCACACAGAAAAATGTCACAAGGTACAGCTGGCTGGCATGTTTCAGGCCAATGATTTGCTTGATCATTTCCCTGACGTCATTGTTTGTGTACAACACTGTGTAATCCTTGCCTTACTCCACGCCCCACATGTGGAAACATATCTTTGCAACCTATACAATACTCTCTCTACCACAGTCGAGGCTGTTGTGTTTATCCCATAAAATACAGTCACTACACTTTACAGAATATTCTGTGAAGCGCTTTGAGATGCCTCAATAATGTGATGAGGCACAATATCATGTGCAAGGATTATTATTATTAAACTTTCCCCCTCCCCCAATATACGCACACACTTACATAATGAAACAGGCTTAATTTACAGACTAATCATTTTAAGCAACAGTGAGCATAAAAGTATGTAGGTGACCTGAGCAAATCAACAACTTCCTGACTTAAGATCACAAGATCGGACTGGATGAAGAAGGCCCTTTGGACCATCTGATCTCATCCCTACAGCACACACCCCCTAACATTCCCCCATCACAGCTTCAAGCTTTGTAATGTCCTGGCCTCAACCACCCTTCCTGGCAATCCTCTTCCAGTGGTTGATTGGGGGACAATGGGGTGGCGTTCTGTGGGGAAAAGAGTCAACTTTCCCTGGAAACACTTTCAGCTTTTACACTTTGATTTACAGTATAAAAACGTTTATGCAAGAGTGAAAACTTCTATCAAAATTAATAAGCTTGGTGCTTGATACGAGTGAGTGCAAGATGAAATCAGATCAATTATATATATCCCGGGTCAAAACACTGGAGATGACAAGCATCAGATCTAGTGATGACTTTCATTAGAGGTCACCACTGGGTTAGAGCCAAGTAACTGCTGATAGCAACTTCACAGATTGTTGAATGATGGTATTAACGCTACATTCACCGATCAGGACATACCATGCCTGTGTTAGGGATGGTTCTGACAGTGTCCGATTGTTTCCTAGGCCTACACTGAACATTACAGTACTGTGTTAATTTCAAATTCCTGTTTCTTGTATACTGCTGTATGTAAATTCCCTGCCCGTACTCTCCGTTCCTCTGGCTCCGGTCTGCTCCACGTCCCCCGCCCCAACCGCCCTACCATCGGTGGTC